GTCTGAAGAAGTTGTTAATAAACATGTAAATAAAACAAACATCTAAATCTCCGGTAAGAAAGCCACATAAAATGTTGGATATGTTGGTTGACTTCTTGTTTGTTGGCTAACTTGCAATTTTTGGGCTGGTATGGTTGGTTCAAAAAGGTTGTCGGAAGGATATATACAGAAAGCTCTACGGTATTTAATCACACACGGCCAGCCGGAGCATTCCGTTACGATTGTAATGGGGAGGGTATGTCTATATCTATGGCTGCCCCACCCGAACAAAAACAGAGAAGTACTGCCGGGACACGTGCAGGGAGGCGACTAGTTGCGACTATGTGTTGGAGGTGAGATGCATTGCACAACACACTTGTGCATTACAATGAGGTTGCACATGCCTTTCGGTTTGCGATGGATGCCATGCACTACCATCTCATGATGAAGGGCATCCAGGGTCCAAAGACGTTGAAACTGCGGGGTTTTACATCGAGATGACGCAATTGCTGCTGTCGTCTACCGGAGTTGTTGCTGTTGTCCGACCGAGGTCTGCGGCTGTGGTTACTGTTTTGATGGCTATGGTTTTTGTTTGATTTCAGTTTAAAATGGCATCCATCAAACAGGAACCCATTTCACTATGGTTATGGCATGTTATGGCTGTGCCACTCCCGATGTACGGGAGTGGCTCTGTTTTCCGTCCAGTATTCCAGGGATGTTAGTGACTGTCAGTGGTTCTTGTTCAGATTCAATTCAATATTGTTCAAAATTGCCCTGACAAAAATGCAAGTACCAGCTGGATACCTGGAAGCCGCTGATGGGAGAATGGTTGGCCGTTTCTATCCCCATGCTTCCCCTATGTTGCGAATGTTTGAAACCACCAACCAGCTGAAATACGTTGAGAATTCTTAGTTGCAAATGTTATTTCATGTTAAGCCCCCTGGCCCCTCTTTATATATCCCCCCAACATTTCGGCTGTCTAATTCCTGCTGGTCTGATCCACCTATTTTCGCTGGTGAAATGCAAATGTTTTGCTTCTTGCTCGGTGGGGTTACCCAATACAAAACAGCTTTTTGAGAGTTGGATTCCCATTGATCCTGGTGAAAAAACACGATGGTTCCTGTTCAAATTCCCGTTTGGCATGATTCAATCACTATCGCTATCCGATATGTTTTTATCACATGTGCATTTTCCGCAAGGACGCCACCAAAAAAAAAACCTGGTCAAGTCATGTTTTTTTCTTGATCAAACCATATTAAATCACAAGTGATGCTTACATCACCGTTATTTATGGGTTTAATCATGACTTAGGTTCATGAATCTCATGATTCAACCCATAAATAATTATCGTGTTGTTCATCGTTTTTTTGGGTTCAATCACCAGGTCTGCCACCTGCGACGTCGCCGCGCCGCCAGGGCTTTTGGCTGGTGGGCCGGCGCATTCGCATCGAAGACATTTCCCCAGAAGGCTCGGTCCAGCAGCGGTAAGGCCGTGAAGCCACGGCTTAACAAAGATGGAGATTTTAGAGTTGATTTATGATAGCAAAGTTGGTGTATTAAAAATCAAGTTGATATTTTATGGGTGTTTCATAGACTTGTCTATAGTGGCGGGTCTAATCTTATATCTGGGGGCACCGCCTTGTACTGAACATGGAATAAACTTGGGTGAATTAGAACGACCTCACTGCAGTGTCACTGGAATTATTGTTAGGATTGGGGTAACTATCAATGACCTTATTTCAGGTTGGCGAGCTATTGTGATTTATCTCGAGGACTTTTGATTTTGACTGTCAGTAAATTCAGATACAACCTGCAATCTATCTGTACAGTGTTGTACTAGCCAGTAATATGGGTATATAATAGGGTGCTGATAAAATAGACGAAGCAGCTACATGAATATTTGTTAAATTCGATGGACCGATGGACATCTATATAAGTTTGGCCATGGATAGAGGGTAGATGATTGTCATATCTCCGTCTCCCTATGATGTTTTCTACTTCTGTTTATTCGTTCAGATTGCAATATACAAGGCGGGCCCCCAAACGTTCTGTTTTTGGGGTTCATAAACCCTAGCTTTTGGGGGTTGCAAACCAACTTAACAATCTCTGGGGCCCCATCTTGTACTGGTGATTTAAACCCCTCCTGGACTTATTACTCCGTTGGTAATCAAACATGGCTGGGAGCGAAGGTTCAGCAGCCAACCCAGCGACCACGATTTCTATGCCTGACATTATTGAGGCCAACCGCGTTGCGAATCAATCATTCACTCAAGCGGCTCTCGAGGACTTGATTACTGTACCAAAATGGACAAAAGTGCACCTGAGCTGCCACCGAGAGGGGTTTGATCCATCAGCATTTCGATCCAACAGGGACTACACACAATCAGGCCAAATTGCGTGGCTGATCCAAGAGCTGACCAAACTAAAGATCATTAACCCAAAGAAAGTCACACTATGGACGTCATACAGCCGGACACCCTCTGGTAAACTAAGATAATTATGGCAAATCACCATTGTCAATGGGTAAATCCACTATAAACGATTATAAATTGCCATTTTCAATCGTCATTACCAGAGGGCAAGTTGGAACAACAGTTTGGAAGCCATTGACGACTGTGACCTCGCGCAAGATGCATCCGGGCACAATCATCTTCAGACCTACGTGAACGAAGACGTCAAACGGAGATGCCAAGAAATTCCCAGCTCAATGGAAAAATCACATGTAATTAGCCAAGTAGCAAGAAATCAAGAAGTGGGGCATACGGCCTTAACAAAGTTGGCAGGGGATCAATCCAAAAACACCCGGTAAGTTGGCAAAGTTGGGATTGGTGAGCCATCAGCAAGGATTCAATAGTGAGAAAATTGGATTTTTCGGATTATATAATTGATATGAATTGATTATCATCTGGTTGGTGGTTTCAAACATGACTTTTATTTTCCATGTATGGGATGTCATCCTTCCCATTGACGAACTCATATTTTTCAAGATGGTTATCGCACCACCAACCAGCCATCGTTGTCCCATCGCCTGTTTTCATTTCCATAATCGGATTCCTGGATGGGAAGCCATGGGAATCGGAGAGGCGAAGACGACGAGCGCAAATTGGTCCTGACCACTTTGGGGCAACATCATTTGCGAAACGGTGCCGTGGAACGGAGTGGTGGCGCAAGGCTTAATATGTCTAAGTCGGTCTCCATGCCGGGTCACATCCGGGCCAGGGGTTGGGGAAGTCTGTGAGATTGTTCGGTAATACCTAAAGTGAAATAGCGAGTAAAGATTTAAATCCTGGCATTTGGGGTTGAACATGGATCCAGAAAGTGTGAAGGCCGAAAGCTCAAGTCTAAATCCGAGATATTTTTGGTGACCAAGGTCAATGATTTATGGTTACCTGTCGAGGAATTTTCATCCAGAATCCCATTGCCTACCCAGTATTGTCCCACATCTTCCGGTGTCAAACACGGCAATGGGAAAATCCTTTTGAAATGGATTTTTTTGGAAAAATCCAGGAACTAAGTGGTAGATTTTCCGGTTGCCGCTGATTACCAGAGGGTATATCTCCACATTAAGTTCGCTGGCCATTTCCAGTTGCCGTTGATGTCGGTGCCCCGTCAAACTAAACCGAACGCGAGGTTCCCGCTTTCCGCTGACCTTCTATGGAACGAACCATTTCCTCTTGGACAACTACACGCACAGGCACAGCTGATCCTTCAGTTGTGCCCAAAAACTTGGTGGTTTCAAATTTGGGTTTAATATAATTAAGCTATACATATATAATCATATATATATAGTTCACATATTTGATACAGTAGTAGTAGTTCATAGAACCTGATACTTCAAATAGATATATAACTACACATATAGTTCATATAACCATTGATTTTTTACAACCAAACAGGCCAACAGGCTACTGGCAGAACCGATGGAACAAACTATGAAAAAGTCAGGTTGCCTAAAAATTGGGCATACCTCCAAATTGTTGTTTGAGGGGACATGGTCTTCGAAAACATTCGATTGCGCGGCAGTTACTGTTTGGACATACCCATTTGTAGCCTGGAGATTTGCATAGATTGAGGGTTAGAAATAATGATTGGATTCCAGGTGCTACCAGCTGGTTGAAATTGCCAATCATCACAATCGAATATGGGAATCCCAGTGAATTCAAGTTTCACTTTGAACCACCCATTGCAAATGCCCCATGTCAAGATGTTTCAAGGGTAGATTTAAAAACGTGTCCATGATCCCCTGAAAGTCAAACTCATCTTACCATAGGCTGAGTCATTTGGATCTTCTACCCGTAAACTAACATAGCTATTGAAAATGGCCCAGTCGAAATAGTTGATTTAGCTCTAAAATGGTGATTCTCCATAGTTTTCTGTAAACGCCAGAGGGTATCAGTCAACAAAAATGGGCCACACCTGGGCCTCCTGGCCCATCGGACGCAGGGCCCTGGTGCTGGACCGTTTCCGCCTGGAAATCAGCACCGAGAACGGCGAGTTCTTCGTGGCGGACGCCTCGGGTGGTCACATGCTGTTGAGCATCCCTGGTGCCTTGGTGATGGGATGAACCTGGGATTTAGGTGGGGGTAATGGTGAATGGTGGTGGATTTAATCGGTTAATGGTAGTTGGGGTTAATGGGATTTAATGGGACTTAGTAGGATTTTAAGGTTTTGCTGGCCCAAGTTTCATGGTTATTTGTGGTTATTTATATTGATTAATGGTGATTTTGTATAGGGGTGATCATTGGGATAAGAGATTGACCTGGGATATTGCCATCCAGTCAGACAGCTGTAGCCGGGAACATCCTTGAACTAAATGGTGCGCTTTCCAGCAAGTCATGTGCTGCTTACCAGATGGCTAAATTCACATATGTTGATGGTAGTACTGGTGGACAAAAGCGTGATTTTGTTGTCGAATTCGATGATTAAAGCAGAAGGGTTGAAATGATGGATAATATGATGATTGTTGCAGGGTAGGGTGGAATCACACAAAAAAATGTACTGTTTTGTTTTTAACTTCCAAGTTTGTTTGTTTTTGGGGTTATCATGATGGATTTTGATTGTGAGGCATTCAAGCACCAAGACTCTTGGTTTGAAGCTAGAAACGATTGGAGTGCAAAGGATTTGGAACAACTGGGAAGCTAGTTGCAGTCGTTTACCAGGTAGGATGTGGAGCAAACAAGAAGATGCAAAAAAAAAGTCACCATTGTTCTCAGTGAATTTCACCATCCTGTGCCCCTATGGTTGGACCTTACCTTGTGGAGGTATGCTGGGGCACCATTTTACAAGCACCAAACATGGACCCATGTTTCGGGCATTGCCCGTGCCTCTGGAGGCACTTTTTGGTATACCCATCTCTTCCAGGCGGCAGTGTTTCGGAAAATGGGAAGAGAACCAGACGGATTTCCCATCTAAAATGGCCGTTAAATGATGGGAAAATGATGATGAATCATTGGAATTCGGTGGTTCCTTAAGTTTCAGACCCAGCTAAAGATGAGTGGTGCAACCTGTCATGTCTGTGGCCAATGGCGACCACTGACGACACACAGCCATAGAGAAGTGTTTCGCAGAAAAAAACATGGACGAACCACAAACTTGTGGAAATGATAGCGCAACAAACAGTACAAAACTGCATATGGAATATGATAGAACCACAGGGATACTTGAAAAAAGAAAACAGAAAATCGCGGAAACCATGCGAAAGCATTCAGAAGTTCAACATGGACTCCCATGGATGCTCTCAGGAAGGTCGTGGCCTTTATATATCCCTGTTCCAATTTTGTCCAGCGGCTCTGAAATATGTTTTAATAATCGTTCTAGCAACCTCCAAAAAAAGATAAAATAAGTAGGTTATCACCTTCCTGGGGTTGTTTTTTCCAACTAAACAAATCGAATTTTTCGAATTTTCCTTCGACGTGGTGGTTCAGTTGGCGCAGGTCTTTCCGGTGATGCTGCTGATCCTCCTCTTGTGGCTCATTGGAATCGCCGCAGTTTCCTTTGGCGATCCGCCCCTATTAGCGCCTCGGAGAGATGGGAAATGATGGGAATGGGATGAGGCAAGGACATGAACCACTTTGAACATGTGAAGATGTGATTTCTGAGCTGGAAATTTAGGTAAACAAAAGAAATGGGGTCACAATTGCCGGCGTCGGTTGAATTATATTGATGGGTCAGTTTCCCATGCGATGGCCAAAGGGTTCATATTGGGGACTGGATGAGATGGCCTGTGATGGGATGGCGCAACCAAAAAATCATGGGGTGACAGAGTTTTCGATCCAGTTGGCCCTTCATTTTGCTGCTCTGCTTCTTGAACTGACATGGGGCTGAGACCCGCACAATTTCAGAATGTTCATCCAAAACTTTCGTAGAAAATGCGTGTTTTGCCCATTGCCTGCCATCCTTTCTGGGGGCATGCATAGCGTATCATGCTCAGTCTCATAGCGAAAAAATCAATCTTACATCCCCAAGTAATTACTTCAGTTAGTTTCTAGTTTCATCAACCAGGTGGCTGGAAAATCCTCTATCAACTGAGGTTTTAATGGTAAAATCATCGATTTATTTGGAAAACATGTGATTTGAAGAGCTGGACATTTTGCAAATCTGACGGGAAATCATCCTGCCGTTGGTTAAGAAACGCTGTTCGTTCACCTGTTTTACTCCAAGCCATGCAGAATTCGCTTCAGCAACAAGGACCGGAATGAACGTTACATCGTGTTCAATAGGCCAAATAATCCTTCAGGACATTGTTTCTCCCAACATCCCTGGATTCAAGCTACAGATGTGAGGTAACGAGAAAAATTCGGCCCTATTCAACCTTTCTTCGGCCCTATTCAACCTGCCTTCCAGTCAATATCCCCAGATTCAGGTTTGCGATAACCAAAAAATAAGATGAAATCTGACCCTATGAAAAACCCTATGAAGTGCTCAATGAATGTTTACTAATCCCAGAAAAACCCTGACGTTCAAAACCCCACCATGGTCGGGGGTACCATTCGGGCCCAGTTTGCTGTGATCATGGCGTGTATCCAATTGTCCTTGGCAATCATGGGCCGCTTGTATGTGTGGCTCCTTGGTGTTTTGGAAGAGATGCAAAACGGGATGGCTTAGCAAACTTATGTGATATGACGGGATCACGTTGCTTGATTTGCTCGATTTTCGTGGAAATTCATCCAGGAAAAAAATTGGGATCGTCAACCATGGTTGGTGTTATGCTTATAGGATTTCATGGATATAGGCATACTGATTTCACCCCCATAAGTTTGGATATATTGAAGCTTTACCGTAGAGTTGCTGAAAATGTTGCGTTCTTTTCCCGATGAGAAATCAACTACTTGGGGCATCTATAGGGATTGTTTTGGTGCGGGGGCTTCCTTAAGCAACTCCAACTTATACTTATGGCCATATACCGATGCACATCCAGATGAAGTGGAATTGCAGCCTAAGAGCATGAGAAAATCTGCGAAGCAGCCAAAGATTAGAGATTGTGTAGGGTACCTAAGGTTGGCCATGGTGAAAAACTCTCGTACCACGTCGCTAGAACAAACAGTTATAGAAGAACCTGCAAAAATTATAGACTGGTTGATGGTGGTTTGGTTTTTTTTCCATATTTTGGGAATAATGATCCCAATTGACTTTCATATTTTTCAGAGGGGTAGGTCAACCACCAACCAGGAATATCTATCCCTATGATCCAGCCATGCCAACAAACATATCCCCATGGTTTGTCTGAAAATGTGATCATCGCGGTATCCGGAGTATAAGTGCTTTTTTGTCGGAGGCGAACCCCTAATTTTCGATCCAGTGATTCCTGTTCAGTTTCTTCTGCATTTTGGGGTTCATCTCGTCACCTGTGTTGTCTTTTGCCACGTTGATCATATCCAAAATGCTAAATACACATTGATATTTCATATTTACATGATATATTTACCACCGAGTTGTAAAAGTCTGCATATACTGCAATGATGATAGTGATGTGTGCTTTCCGGGAAGGTAATATAGTAAGATTGCTTAGAAAAGAAAAATAATTTGTTAGTAAGATGACTAACCAGCTTTAACATGTTCCTTTTCTCAGGGTTTTTTCAAGGAAGCGGCTGCAATATCGGTCGCCCTTGGATTGGCGCCTTCAACAATATAGCCACCTGACGGCCATCTGGGATGCCGCAATGCCTGGGCCGAAGGTAGAGGATTTGACCAGGAAAGATCGTGTTGTACTAGGTACTGGATGAGTATAATTAAGAACTTACTTCCCATGTATGTGCATTGCCCATTCATTGGATCAAAGATTTACCAAACAAAAATGTATTTAAGTTTCGCTTGATCCCTACCTGCCGAGATGCTGCCCAATTGGTGTTCGTGGTTGTATCAGTCAACGCACGCCATGAAAGAATATAGAATCTGATTAATCTGATCCTTTCCATTGTGAGTGTAGGTCGGATCATTTAAGGAATACCCCTGAGCGATTGGTCTACCCTCCACGTTTGCTGATTCAGTGAAGTTCCACAATTCACGACTTCTCCCAGAGTACCCGAGATTCACCTTGGGTTTTCCCAGCTGATCTTACCATACCTGCAATGTGGCCCGCCCCCCAGTGATGTTAGTTGGTTAACAAAAGCCCCAGTAACTAGAGTTATAAGTACCATAAACCATAGTTATTGGAGTTATAAACCAACTTGGCTATTTTGGGGGCCTCACATTGTGACCCATAAAACTCACCATGTTCCGCGCGCTTTCTTCCACCCATCTCTCAGACGCCATGCTGACGGAGAAGAATCCCACGCCAGTGGCCTGCCAGAGGGGCGCCATGCGAGCGGTGACGGCGTTTCAACTCTTTGATCTCTACGATTTCTTCCAGGCGCGACAATCCGGAGATTATCAGCAGCGGCTGCAAAAATGAGGGATTTCATTTTCAGAAACGATGGGAGCCTTCTGTGACTGAAGTCTCGGAGAGGGCCATGGAGAGAGAGAGAGAGAGAGAGGTCATGAAAATGAAATGATGGGCAAATAGAAAGTGTGTTTGATTCTGGTTGGTGGTTTGGAACATTTGGATTATTTTTCCATATCATATGTTGGGAATGTCATCATCCCAACTGACGAACTCATATTTTTCAGAGGGGTAGGTACACCACCAACCAGTTCCTACCAGGAAACGTGGGGATTGACGCTGATCAGCGGCCTGGCACCCTGTTCTGTGGCAGGCCTTCATTAAGGGGCGAAACATGTATTACATCGATCCGAACCTGGCTCCTGGGATGGTGGATTCGGCTATGGATTCGGCTAACGAAAAGGGGAGGACTGACCAAGCAACAAGGTAGGTTTTAGCAGCAGAAACAGATCCTGTTCTCCAGTGAAAGCCATGAATAGCTAGATAATCTCAGCTGGTTTGTTCATTAGCCATCTGGCTGGTAATCACCAGCCAAATCAGGCTATCTAAGATTAGGTGGAAGCCAATGACTAATCTGACTGATAACGAAAGAGGGATGTATGCCATACATCGCGTGCCCGCTCAGTAAGGGTGCTTGAGTTAGGACTGGACCTCTGGTAAAGCTTAATTCTGATGATTCCGGCAAATCCATATTGCTGGCTAAAAATTAGTATATCCCGACATCCCCATATACTTATACCTCAACAGAATCCCATATCACATATCTCCTGGTACAATGATTAGTTGTCATGTTGGGTTTTCCATGTCTGTGTGAGCTTACTGGAGGTCATATTTATTAACATGGTTTAACTGCTGTTAACTATGTTACTTCGGTTGACTACAGTTACTGTATTCTTATTACCTTCTATTGTGCCCCAGAAAATTCAAGAGAGGACCAAGAGAGAGATACCACTACATCCCGTTGCGCTTGGTGGAAAGCATCACCAAATCACATCAAATAGCATGATTCAATTCTTAGTATAGCCCCTATTGATATGCCCCAATAATGTATATACCACTAATGTCAACCCTGGATTAATAAACCCCAAACGGCTGTTTAATTGGGAGGGTACCGTTTAAGTATTAGATGAAATGACGATTGGA